ATGAGCAAAAAATGTGATTTTGTTTTTGAAATGAAATTAAAGAAGAAAACAGAGTTGTAGTAAGTGAAATTGAAAAGACATCTTTGGAATTTTGAACTTTTTCAGACAGGAAGTTTGAATGTCGTTTTCAGAAAATTGTCAAGTTCAGAACATTTTTAAAATTATGGAAACTTTTTTGGTTCTATGGAAAAAGATTTGCAGAGAAAGAAAACACATTTGTAGTGAGTGGAATTCAAAAAAAAAGAATTTTAGGAATTCTGGAATTTTTAGACAGGAAATCAAATGTAACTTTCATTTTCAGAATATTAAAATCATCTTCTTACATAGTTTTCAGATTTTTTCATTTTAAAAAAGGAAATTTTGAAATGTTGATCTTTATGGTATCGCAAGTTCAAATCTGATTTTCAAAAGACCATTTTTGAAAGAAATTCAGAATTCTCAGAACTAGAAAATAAAATTTTTATCTACCCCGAAAAGTCTCGAAAAGTTCAGAAACTAGCTAGCCTGAGATTCAAAATCACATAGTGTGTAGTGATCGAAATTATAAATCCATTTTCGAAATGTTTAAACTTTCTTAAGAGAGAAAGTTGTCAACTCCAGAACATTTTCAAAATTAGAAAGACATTTGCAGAATTTTTTGAACCAGAAAAAAAAAACAAAGAGAAAAGAAGGAATCAATCAAAACTGAAACAAAAAAAGTCGGACATAGACAAAAAACGGGTCTTGTCAAACTCGACCGAACAAATCTCATTTTTTGCGTTTCACTGCATTCTCCTTTTTCTTTTCAGTTTGCTCATCTCATCTCTTTTACTTGTTTTTTTTTCGGAGGATAAAAAAATAAAATAAAAAATGGGTAGAGATTGAGGAAGAAGAAAAAACAACAATTTTTGATTGATTATTTTTGGATAAAAAAATAGGGGGAAGATCAAAAAATACTTTTTTTCTGACATTTAGTTTCTCTATTTTTCGTAAGAAGAGGAGAAGAAGAAGAAAAAGGATCAAACAATTTTTAGGATTCAAGAAGAGAATACTAAAATGTATCATTTTCGTAGCATAGAAAACATGTGAAACATAACAAAAACTTTTAGCATAGATAATTAAGAGCGACACACACATATACAAATATACATAACTTATCCTAAATACTAACTGACAGAAAAGTAGAAAGCAAGCAGAAAAAAAACAGTAATAAAATAAAAGAAAATAAAATACATTTTGGCCAACTTTTTTGCGTCTTTTGCGTCTGCCTTGATGTCACTGGACAAATACACATTTTTGTGCTGCTTTGGGCCGAGAAAATTTTCTCTCTGTGGTTAGTTGAAGAGGGAAAAATGGATGGATGGAAAAAAGAAAAATGGTGATTATTGACAAAACAAACCTGTAATCGCCCACGCGTAGCACAGTCAATTTTATTTATTTTTCCACCCGGTGATCAACAAAAATGATTTAATTAAATTGCCGAATAAGAGAATTCTCAAAGGGTTTTTCTCAATAGTTAACTAACTAGCTAGTAGACCCCATACATCCTACGCATGTCTAGTTTGATCGACTGAAATTCGATATCAGATAAATTTTGGAAGTTAAAAGACGAGGGTGGCAATGGCACTGGTCAAAATGTGTGTGCGTTTTGGTTTATTTTGAAATTTGATCCCAAATAATTAATGATGTCAGACTTTTTTTACTAGACACCTAGAATTTTTTCTAAAAATGTTATTAGGTGTGTCTTGTACATACATATATTTACTTAATTAGTGTTAGCAAATATTAGTCAGCGAATTTCATGAGTTGGTTGAAATATTTTGTGAGGTAGAAGGATTTAGGGGATAGAAAATAATCATAAAAAATATTGTTTTGCATTTTAGAAGAAATAAGAAGCTTATGAGTCCCAAAAGATATGATAATCTTAGATGTTTTTGACTTTTCTACGCAAATTGAAAAATGATTTCATTCTTGTTGAAAAAACATACGCAAAGAATAACCAACCTAGATTCATTTCAATTTTCTAAAACACAAGAGGGTTACAAACTATTAGTTCTAATGATATTTCGAGTAATAATTTTTGTGCTCTAATTTTATGAGTCAACTTGGTGAGTAGAACTTCAGATGTTTTATCAAAAAATTTACGAAACAGGTATTATTGAATTCCTTAAAACATTGAAGTTAATCATAAACGTGTTTTATTTTCAGCCGCTTGAAAAATGTTTACTTTCAAAATTATTTCATAAAAAATCTCCAAGAAAGTTGTTCAAAGGTTCAATTTCCTCGAAAAATGAAGTCAACACAGATTTTTTTTGCAATTCTAAAAAGTGATCTTCGGCCTGATTGGAAAATTGGGAAATTCAATTTCGTAACTAATTGTGAACCTTCATTATTTATTCCCGCTTCTAGATCATAGAACAAAAAATCAGCTACAAAAAATCTCAACAAACAAGAAAAACTCATTTTTCACAAGTGTTCCAAAAACAATTTTTTTCGAGTACAAAAATTGAAAACCTGAGTAAACTCTTTCACGTAACCGCGAAAATAGCGAGAGAAAAGAGAGTCCTTATTTCTTGTGTCAACAAACAATAACTGACAAAACTAACAAAAAAGTACTGGAAAAAGAGAAAAGAAGAAAACGGACAAAAAATAAGAGATTTTACTCGTAATCCTTAAAATTAACATCAAAAAGGTCATTTTTCTCTGTTTCAAAAGACCTGCAAAAAAATGAACTAATAAAATTCTCTCACGAAAAACCAAAAAATAGCACAAACACTCACATATGTTGGAGCACATGAAACATTATTACAAAAAATTCTCATCCATATGTTTCTTGATTTTTCTTATAACGTGACTACGTTATAAGAAAATAAAATAGAATGAGATAAAATAAAATAAAATGCAATTTGGAATTCAAGTTTTAAACCTAACAATTATCTACCTATCTACAGATGTATAATTAATTTTTCTCCTGACAAGAACAAAAATTTACTTCAGCGAAATTGAGGTTTATTGATTTTCATCAAAATTCTTTTCGAATAGAAAAAATGAAAAAAAACAGAAGCGACAAAAAATACCCGGAAATTGTCGGTTTGCTGATGCTAATGAAAAACAAAAAGTCCAGTTGTTAAACAAAGATTTCTGATCTTCAGATATTTGCGTCTGCACTTTTCAGATAGCCTAGTGATTTTTGAATCTTTTTATCTTCTCTTTCTGCGAAATTGTCATTCACTCTTTTTTCACTATATGATATATGATTGTATATTTTTTGAACGAAGAAACTAAAGAATGCTCTACTTCCATACAATGTGTAATAAATTGACACCACTGAAAAAGAAAAAAAGTGATTTTTTGATCGGAGGAAAATTTGAAGTCAAATGCAAGGTGTGACGTGTCAGTTTCACTTTGAAAGAGATTACGATTTGCTCTTCGAAATCGGATCCGGTTCATTTTCAAAGTTACCTCAACTTAAGTACTATTATTGGTTTTTTAAAGAAATAGACAACTTTTAAGCTACAGTTCAAAACAGGCCAAAATTACTTGAGAGAAACAAAGAGAGAACTTTTTTGAAGCAAGCAAGGGGAGAAAAAACTCACTCTAAACCTTTTTTGAAGCAAAAGAAAAAAAAATTAAAAAAAACCCTCGTTTGAAAATAAAAAAATATCCGCGATTGTGCGAGCGCAGTGTCACGCGGAGTCTCGTTGTTTTACTTTAATTTTTTTTTGGTTTGCGGAACAGGAAACCTAAAGAAACCGAATAGAAAATTGGAAAAATCTAGGAAATTTATCGAACGAAACACATTGCGTTCAAATTCGAATTATTTATATTTTTTTAACCTTGCGCCATTTCTCTCAACGCACGTATTTTGGATGATTTCTGGCTGGAAAATACATATGTAGAAAAGTAAGCAAAATCAAGATATCAGTTTGACTCTCAGTTGTCTATTTCTTTAATGAATAACAATACTTATGTGTAATAATGACACCAACTAATGTTTCTGTCCAAAAAAAAAAACAAAAATCCAAAATTCAATATCCAATAAAATAGTTCTCATGGTTGCAGGAACTTTTTTCTTTCTCTCGTGGAAAATAAAATGAAATCTTCAGCAAAAAAATCTTCTTTTTTTGAAAAATGTATATATGCGATGTGATCATTGATGATTTTGCGTTATTGAAACGGGAGATGAAAATTTTATGTGCAAATGTGAAATGTCAAATTTTTACACATTTTTAGATTAAATTTTTTTCTGCTGGCAAAGCCTTGCTTTACTTTTGTTTTTTATCATCTGATGATACAAAAAATTGAATTCATAAAAAACTATGTGGTCAAAACAATTCCCAAAAGAAATCAGAAAAATTTTAGCTATTTCAGTTTTGATAGAGAGAAAAATTTCGAAAATTATTCGGTTGACCAAAAATAAATTTCAAAAAATGTAAAGGTAAACGATAAGGTCGCATGGGCGCGCAGTGAGAAAAAAAGAAACACATAAAAAATTCACATTTGAGAAATTTGATTGAGGACGAGAAAATAATGGAAAATGAATTTCGAAATGGGTTTCAAGTGGTCTCGTCCTTTTCTTCTCATTCTTTCCGTCTCTGTGTGTGTTTTTTTTGACTTGAAACAGTCATTTTTTCACAGTTCAAAAATGAAAAATAAATGTGTTTTATGTATGAATGTGGGAAAACACGATTCTATTCTGAGAATTCTAAAAATAGGGCTTAATAAGCCGAAATTAGTAATACTGTTGTTTTTCGTTGTTTTGAAAGAAAACAAACTATTTTTCGAAATCAAAAAAAAAAACCAAAATATGCTTTGAGTTATTTGAGAAATAACAAATAAATTCTCCCAACAGCGAAAAATACATAATAAGCTTATTCGTCACCCCTTGTGAAGAAAGTGATACTCTTTAACTCAAATATGGAAAAAAAAACTAATGAAATTGATTTTTTAAATTTAGCCAAACAAAAAATACCAAAATTAGTTATGTTATTTTTCTCACTCAAAAAACTCAAAAATCCAACTCATAATGTTTTCAACTCACGAAACTTGTCATTTGAAAAATTGCTAATTTCAATTGGAATTTTAAGATCAGCCGGATATGTTTTTTGTTTCTTTTTCTGCATCATCATACCTTCAAAATTGCCCCATGGGAATATTGGAGAATCATCAAGGGAAAATGAATATGTCGAATTGGATTTTGGTTGAGCCTGTTTCATTTGTTGTGTTTGTTCGACTGATGGGAATGTGAAAAAACTGAGATGTCCAGTTAATGATTGTGGTGGGCATCGATTGGCGACATATTTTTCACGAGGTGGAGGTGGTGGACGCAGAACGATTGGTGGCTCGAATTCAATATGTCCTGGTGGATCAGGGAAGTTGGTGTGATCAGGATTGTTGAAATCATAATCTGGACGATGCATTCCGAAAATTGGAAAATTCTCGTCTAGATTCTCTGCAATAAAAACATGTTTTGTGAAAAAACAAGACAAGAAGGGAAATGTTAATGATAAAAAAAATGAAAACTTTGAAAAATCGTTGTGTTTCGAATACATTTGAATGAACATCAAATGTTTCGAAAAATATTATAAAGAGTCAAAAAAAAAATGGTGTAAATATGTATAGATAGCTAGCGATAAACTTTGACATGATTTTGTGACATTGTAAATTTTTGAGATTATTTTTTTGAGGCGGCAAGATTTACAAAAAACAAAAATATTATAAAAATGTTCGGATCCAAGAAAATGAATGTGAAATATTTTGTAGAATGAAAATTTGAGGCTTCAGATTTTCAAAGGAATTTTTCTAAACTCCTTAATTGTATTCTCGCCCAGAAAACGTAAAACTCGGATGAACGAATTCCAATCACAAAATTATGGATGAAAATTAGCCTGAAATAATAATAGAAAATTTTCAGATTGATATCGCAAAATTTGCTTCCTGGATGTTCTGCTCTGAATGGCTAATTATCTAGTCACATTTTTTCTAGTGAAATTATTTTTTGGAAATAATCTCTAGAGATTGTCTAATGACAAAAGTCAGGAAAAAATAACCAGAACATTTTTTTCAAGAAAATATCCAACAAAAAACGTACCATAATTTGCGATGTACGGTTCATCATGTCCAGAATAGGCTCCGTGGTCGTAAGGATAGCTGAAAAAAAAGTTTTGAAAAAATATGTACACTGAGTACACGTGATTTTTAGTCAGAAAACTAAACCTCCATCCAAATTACAACCTTCTATTTCTACTACAAAATTATTTCAAAATTTATTTTGTTTTGTTTGGAAAATTGCCAATTCCCCCACCTGACCATAAGAAAAAATAATTTTTTTGTGTCCCCGACAAAAAGCGAATAATGCGAATGTATGTATGGAAAAAACAATAACTATCCGCTTTTATTTTTGTTGCTGGCATGTTTAAAAACATCAATTTTGGTCTTGGTCTGATATGAAACTGAGAAATCTTGTGTTTTTTTTTTGAAAAAAAAGTTTCATTTGGGGAAAAAATATAAAAAATAGAAAAATATTAATAATTTTTCACATTGATCGGATTTTATTTTGATTCAATCCCCCTTTCTGTTGAAACATAGTCTTTGCTTTTTTCTGTGTATGTATGTTTTAAAAAAATATAGTTTTTCAAAAAAAAAACGAAAACCAACCTCATTTTTTTGGCGAAAGCTTTTTGTTCGAATGATATGGGATGCTTTTATGAATGAATGAAGATTCAGATTTTATATGCTTCTTTCCATTTTTGACACGGAGGAGGAGATTGGACCAATGAAAACAAAGAGGTTTTATTTTCTTTCTGTAATTGGAAATTGAAATTTGACAAGAGTGGGCTTAAATCTGACAAGCGCTTGAAAAATTGAATGAATTGACGTGAACCTCTTTGTTAGCTGAAAATTAATTTGAATTTTTCAATTTATTTTTGATAGGCAGGTTATTTTTCATTTTTGAGTGATATTTCAGAAAAAAATAAATTGAATAGGATACGGTAGAATATGTAAATTTTTTGGTGACAAACGAGTTTCAAACAATAGCACATTCATTCTAAAATATTCAGAGAAAATTTTAATATTGGGTACGGTAGGATTTGATTTTATATGTAAATTTCACATTTGGTGACGAATCGCTTTTTTAAACAATAGAACATATATTTCAGAATTTTCAGAAAAAATTGAATCTTGGAGATTTTTAAAAGAAATATCACTCAAAAATCAATAACGCCTCACACCAAAAGTTGCTCAACATATTTTTAGGCATCACGTCATTTCAATTTTTCAATTTTACAGAGTGTCAGGCTTAAGATTTAATTCTTACATTAAATTCAAAAAATTAATTCTCAAATGTTCGGAAAAAATATTGATTTCTACAATCATTATTTAATGGTTTTTTTCCTAGAACTGAAAAACCAAATGAAAATTTTATGATAAACACGAATAACACTATATTCTGAAAAAACACATGAAAATTAATTTTATGGACTCTGTTTCAGATTTTTATGGGAGCCACAAAAAACGGTCAATCTGAGGAAACACAATTGTTTCTAAAAAAAATTCAACCACGAAGATAGCAGATCTTCAGGGATTTATTTTCAAAAAATTACCATTTTCTCACCAAAATTTACCCTCAAACGTGTTTCACTGGATGTCTGCTGGATGATTATTTCAATTGCAATTCCAATTCCTAATATAATAATTCTATAAACAAATATAAAAATAAAAGATTGAAAACTTTCCAAAAAAATGGTTGTCGGGAAGAAATGGAGAAATTTTGATAATTATTCAAATAAAATCACATTTGATTCGTTTTTTGTGTTTTTCCAAGGAATTTTTCTCTCGATTAAAAAATTGTGTGTATGTTTTTTTTGTTGTTTTTTTTCGGAAATTGAGAATGAGAAAGAATTATTTTTGTAAAAAGTAATGCTTTTGAGGTGTGGAAAGTTTTTGAAGTTCTTTAACTTGGAAAATTGGTCTTTATTTTTCGTTTTTTTCAGTGGAAGCTTCTTTCATTCTCCCAAAAAAAGATTTTTTTTTTCAAACTCGGTAAAAATTAATAAAATTTATTTTGAAAAAATATGACAATAGAAATCTGGTTTAAAATAAATTAATGAATAAATTAAGGTGTTTCTGTCAAATAGTACCTTTGACTTTTTTTCAAAAACAATATATACAGATACGAAAACAATTTGGAGCAATCATTTCTTAATTGTAGAATGAGCATTGAGCTTCATAGTTGAATTCTTCTGGCATTTGGATATCAAGGAACATGGCGAATTCCTTTTCTTTGGTCTTTTCTTCAACGATTGGTTGAGCGGTGGTGGTTGATTCGGCCTAGAATTTTTATATGATTGTTTTGTTGAAAAATCGAATTATTTTGGTATCAAAGGTGAAAATCTTACGGTAGCTACAGTTGTAGCAACTTCGGTGGTGGAGCTAGCGGCTTCAGTGGTAGTTGTTGTTGAAGCTTCAGTGGTTGTGGTGGTCTCCTCAACTTTTTCAACTTCCTTCTTTCCTCCGAAATGTGGTCCGGTGATTGATTTCAATTCTTCTCTGATCTCTTTTGGCAACTCGGCGAGGAAATTGCGTTCCTATAAAAAATGCGGAAATTGTTGAACCTGTTTTTTTGTTTCTTCTCACCTTCATACGGAGCTCTTTCCATTGCTCATAGGCAACTTTGGCGTCTGATGAGAGAGTTTCGATTTTCTTGGCGAGTTCTTCTTTGCGGATCTTGAGCTCTTCTTCCCATTTGTTGAAAAGGGCGAGCTGCAAAAATTGGATTTTTGGTTTTTTCACCACGAGTAAAACCTGGTAAATTTTGAAAAATAAATCAACTAACCGATTCACCGGTGAGAAGTGAATAAGCCAACTTCTTCAATTGAGTTTCCTTATCTTCCAAAGTCAAACGATGATCAAACCAGACAGCACGGAATGATTTTCTGACAGTTGATGAAACGTTACGGAGGAATGTTGGTCCGCATTTTCCAGCGAAAACTTTTTCTTTTTGCTCTTCTGGAAGAGCATGAACAACTTCACGAGTCAACTTGTGCTCAGTATCACATTCATCTCCCTCTTTATAGTTGGCCCAGATTGAGCGGACTTTTTCAGCAGCATCGGCTGGCAAATTGTCGATGAATTTTGGAAGTCCACATGGTGGTCCCTAGAAAAACATTGGCTTTTTGAACACAAGAGATTTGGTTGGTCTCACTCTTCTGTGCCAGGATCCTAAAGGATTGAATGGATCACCGTGTCTTGGTGGAAAAGCAACAACAATACATGGGATAAAAGCAAGAAGAACAAGTTTGTACATATCTGCAAAAACAAAAATATAAAAACAGAAAGAAGAACACGAAAAAATGTGCAACACTGATGTGCATGACATTGCTTATATAGTGTGAACCAAAAATCGCGCAAAAAACTGATTTATCTCTGCGCACTCCTCATTTCTCAATATATCTAAATATGCGAAATTGCCAGCGGGCGGGAAAAGGGCGGGTCAGTATATTTGTAGTTTCGGGAGAAGGGAGGGGGAAAAGGGGCGATTGCAAAAACAAATAGATTGCATTGGCTGCTCCTTTGGAATGGTCACGATTGTAGTTGTTGCTGGCTTTGCTCTGGATGCACTGTGTTTCAAGGGCAACGTGTTCACACAAAAATATGAGAGAAGAGGAAAATATGAACATGAAGACATTTTGGAATTTCGATTATTTGTTCAGATTTTGACAAATATTTTGCGTACAAAATGTTTCTTTGATGAGAAGCGACAAAATTTCGAAGCATTGTGGAAAGGGATTCCGGTATAAAAACTTCAATATTCAAATTTGTATACAAATTCGTATTTTTCAAATAAATTGTCATGAAAATTGTTCACCAAAATTGGATTTGAAAAATGTATATGCAAAATTCAGTATTTTCTATCCGTGTGAAAGACTATGAAACAAGTAATTTTGAATTCTGATTTTCAGAAGCTGTGAAACTTATAGATTTTTTTTGACTTTGGTGATTTCTTGACCATTTCTTCTGGTTATCAATTCGATCTACTGTACACTCTGAAAAATTGCTAGAAATAATAATTGTTTTGTTTCGCAGGTTTCCTTTGATATCAGAATAATGCATTTTTTGAATTAGCTAGAAAGTGAAATATAATGTACAAAAAATCAAACTTCTAAAGATAGTGTGAAGTTCTAAAACTTATCCAATTTTCAGAATGCTCACATTTTTGCTTGTTTTTTTTCGAAAGGCTCGATAGAAAATTCCAAGATATAACAATCTTTCTGCAAAGTCTTCAATCTCCCACCAAAACTGCCTTGAATATTTATTCAATCAGAAATCATTTTCTGTTATTTTCATCTTTCGAGAGCACATATCATGATGCATTTCATTTTTTGTCTGCTCATCTTTTTTTTCCAATTTAATCTTCTTCCCATCGTTTTTCTTTTCGCATAAAAACAAACAACAAATCATCCTTCAGATTATTATGATATGCCCACCCGCAATCAAAAATGATTTGTTTTTTCTTGCCTTCAATTTCTTTCATTGTCTTTTTTGCATCTCGACCTGTCCTTTTCTCTGTTTGTTCAGAACAACAACATTTCGGGAGAGCAGCTAGAGCAGCTCTTTATGTTGAAAATGTGTGTGTGTGAGTGCTATTTTTGTATTTTTATTATTTATAAGAGAATAATATGTTGGAAGGAAGGCGAAACAAATTCCGGGAATGGTCAAAGAATGGCAGGAACGACGAGAATAGAAACATTCTTCTATTGTCGAGATTTTTTTGCGGGGTACTTCGAGAATATGATTTTTGGACGAATCAGCAACTTTTGTTTAACCAGGGATGAGATTTTATCGACAACGAGGGGTTTATAAATTTTCAGGTTACCCAACAATAATTTCTGAAACGCTGGAGGAATTGATTCAATTTTCACAAGAAGATTTCTAGAAAAATATATCTGGAAAATACATAAAGACAAAAATGCCAATAACATGCCACAAAAAACTATTATTATGAGAGAGAAAGATCATCAGGTCATCTTCATAAATTATCAGACTATTTTGTAGTTTGTAGTCTGAATACTGAAAAATGATGTTATGCAACTTATGTATCAAAACGTGTGTTTTTTCTACTAGGAAAATTGATAAATGCGAATTTCACAACAAGTTTCATTCAAATTAATGGAAAAACAACAAAAAAAATACGTGAATTAAAAATTTCCGAAAAACAAAAACAAGAAAATAAAAGTAAAAATGGAAGTGCGCCCTATTGATAAAAATTGCATGTCTCACACTCTGTCAAAAATTTGTGTGTGTCTTCGTTGCTGTTTTTTTATTATTATATTTATAAATTATTATTTTTAAACTGTTTTTCATTTTTCTTCGAACTTTTGAGAGTATTTTTCAGTCATTCTACAGTTTCTTCACCAAGCATCTACTATGCCAAAACATCAACACCAAGATCAGAAAAACAACACGTCTACAGTATTCTCGGGATCTTTTATCTCCCCCGCCCGCCTCTTCCCATAAACAGGGGAAGAAGGCGTCCAGAAAAAAGGTCATCAGATAACCAAGATGATACGTGAGATTATGCATATTCTGGGACCATTCAGCTCATTTGGTGATCATGGTCACAAAAAAGTTGGTGGTTTTCTTTTTCCTACTAGGAGCTGTAAATGCTGTAAGTTTAGATTAGATTTGTTTCTTTATTTATTTTCAATTTTTTTCAGAAATCATTCTTCTTTGATTTTGTGAATGGCAAAGGTCCCTACAAGCAAGATGAGGCTCTTCGATTTCTTGGAAAAATGAATGAGTTGAATCGAATTCAGGCGGATATTTTGGATGTTTCAGTGAGTTTTTCGCCAAACTTTAATTTGAAAATAATTTATGATTGTTTTTTTCAGTTGAGTTCAAATGATAATGCCTTGAATGCCACAGAGGTCGAGCAAGATGAAGTTCAAAAGAAACCTGATGAAATTCCATATTTATTTGAAGGAGATATGGTTTTGACTGATGAGCAGATGGATATAATCATTAGAAATGCTAAAGATCAATATTGGGCGAGAAAATCAAAAATTCATAATTTTTTGTATGCGATTCGAGGAAAACGTTCAATGACATCGCAATTGTCATTGAGATGGACTTTCCCGATTCCATATTATATCAACACTGCTACTGGAGGTTAGTTTGGAACAAGGAAAAGGAAATTGAAATGTTTTCTGGAAAGTTTAGCTAGAAAATAATAATTATTTCTGAAACGTTTTCTATCATCAACTTGTTAGCCCAACTTGTTTTTTTTTTCAGTTGATACAAATGCAATTCAAGCCGGAGTTGCAAAATGGCAAGAAGAAACATGTGCTCGATTCACCCAACTTCAAAGTCTACCATCTTCTGGGAACGCACTAGAATTCATCTCGGGAAGCGGGTAAGTACGTACTAAAATCTGGAAACTGCAATTTTTCTCTTTTATTTTTCATTTTTTTTTGTTTTTGGTTCCTTATCGTTTTCTTTCTTTTTTTTTTGAACTATCTATCTAAAACAGGGAAGAGAACAAGTTAGAAAAAAACGGTCACACCTGCGCGCTGCCCAAAAATTCCGGAGAAAACTTTTACTTTTCAAGGTTGGTTACACTAATCAGAAATAGTATAAAAGGGTTAGGTATCGTTTCAAAAAATCACCAACAACATGGGCAAGATTATTCTTATTGGGTCGGTTGCGACTTTTGTTTGCAGCTTGGTGGCTGTTTTCACTATGGGAACATTGATTCAAGAGATCAGTGATCTTAGATTCGAAGTTGAGGATGGTATGAGTGAATTCAGAGTGAGTTGAAAAATAAATATTCTGTTTTTTCAAAAGCAAATTTCAGGAGATCCATCAAGATACCTGGTCTAAGGTTATGAACAAACATTTGAACCCATCTGGAGCATCTGATGCTCCACCAACCTTCCACACTTTGTTCGGAGTTCGTAGAAACCGTGCTTCTGGATTCCCAGAACAATGTAACTGTGGACCACGTTCTGAGAACTGCCCACCAGGACCACCAGGAGTTCCAGGAAATCAAGGAGCACCAGGAGAGCCGGGACCAGACGGAGGAGATGGAACCCCAGGATTGCCAGGAATCGTTGTCGGAATTGTCCATGATCTTCCAGGAGGTTGCATTGATTGCCCACCAGGACGTCCAGGACCACGTGGAGTACCAGGAGAACCAGGACCAGGAGGACTTCCAGGAGACAACGGAAGACCAGGGCCACCAGGACCAGCTGGGCCATTGGGAGGACCAGGAGAGCCAGGAGATGCTGGAAAGCCAGGAAACTCCGGACGACCAGGGCCACCAGGACCAAGAGGAGAAGCCGGAACTCAATATAGACCAGGAACCCCAGGACGTCCAGGACCACCAGGGCCAAGAGGAGAAGCTGGACAACCAGGAAATCCAGGATCACCAGGAAACGATGGAGAACCAGGAAAGCCAGGAAACGCCGGACGACCAGGTCCACCAGGAACTCCAGGAAAGAACGGAACTCCAGGACAAAAAGGAAACGATGCCGAACCAGGACCAGATGCTGGATATTGTCCATGCCCAGCCAGAGCCAGAGCCTACAAAGCATAATTTTCTTATCAATGACTTTTTCTTTTGGTCTCAAGTAAAGATTTTAGCATGCAATTTTGTTGTTTTTTTTTATTTTTGAGAGTGAGGATAGGCTTCAATTGAAAATCCAATCTTGAAATTATTGGAAGCGGCTAGAAGGGAACAAAAACGTTATTTTCATATCATTGATAAAATTCAGAAAATTAGAATTGTAAAAAGAGTTTTGAGCAAATCTTTCAAAATAACTTCTCATTAATTTCACAACTCCAATTTTTTTAGATGTTGGTCATACATTGGTAAAATCGGTTATTCTTCCCAACAAGTCTCAATCGGTGTTGGATGCACATCTCTCGGAACTGTCACTCACGAAATTGGCCATGCCCTCGGTTTCTACCACGAACAAGCTCGTTATGATCGTGATTCATATGTTTCAATTTTGACACAAAACATTCAATCAACTTATTTGAGTCAATTCACCAAACAATCTTTCTCAAGTATGGTTGATTATGGAGTTGGTTATGATTATGGAAGTGTTATGCATTATGATCAGACTGCTTTCACTTCAAATGGTGGAAATACAATTGCAACAATTGATCCAAATTATCAAGCAACTATTGGACAACGTGTTGCACCATCTTTTGCTGATGTGAAGAGAATTAACTTGGCCTACTGTAACTGTAAGATTATCTGTTTTGAAATAATTTTATATAATTTCAATCATATTTTTAGCAACCTGCTCAAACACATTGGACTGCCAAAACGGTGGATACATCAATCCAAATGATTGCAACAATTGTAAATGTCCTCCAGGATTTGGTGGTCAACTTTGCAATATTGCTGGAGGTGGAGATGCTTCTTGTGGAACTGCTGATCTTACTGCAACTAACACAATTCAAACTGTATCTGCTTCTGGAGCTGTTAATTGTCAATATGTGATTACTGCTCCAGTTGGCGCGAAAGTTTATTTCCAAATGACTGCCGCAACATTCTCGAGAAGTGTTCCGTGCACAAATTATTTGGAGATTAAATATGATTCTGATTTCACTCGTGTTGGAGCACGTTTTTGTACAAGTTATCCAACAATCTCACTTTCGGAGACAAATCGTCTTGTGTTGATCTACCAAGGTGTCAGTGGCGCGAGATTTAGTCTAAATTATCGATATGATCCACAAGATTTTACAACATCTACTAGTTCAACATCAACCACAACCACCACAACAACCGCTGCACCAGTCACATCTGCACCAACAACATCAACCGCTAGACCAACTACCACAACTGCAAGAACGACAACAACTACCCGAAGAACCACTGTAACTTCAACTACACAAGCACCAACCACCACAACTTCATCAGTTTGTGGATCTTGGGGAGGATGTTCAGCACAATGTGGAGGTTGTGGAACACAAACTAGAAAATGTGGAACATATTTCGAAACTGTTTATTGTAACACCAATCCTTGTGTTGGTGGATATTGTTGTCGACCATTCTTTTATGTTACTCAAAATGGAAATGGATATTGTAAACGTCCACAAGCTGATGATTCTGAGATTCGAGTAAGTTCCGGGATTTAGGAATTGGTAATTGAAAAAGCTTGAAAATTATTTAAAATTAATTTTGAATAAATTTCGAAAAATTTTCTAGTTTTATTTGTTAAATTGGAGGACTATCAAATATATAAAGATGAAATTTTTTTCAAATTTCATAAGTTTATAATATTTTGAAATGTATTCTGATGAAACACCACAATAATATTCGGTCTTTTTTTCTCAAAAACATACCAAATATGATTTGACACCACTTTATCCCACCTCATTAGACATTCAAAGGGAATATTCACATATATTGCGTAATCCATTAATTGGCCATTCAGACAATAAATATTGATTAATGTATTCAAACCATTCACCCAACCATCCAGCTGTTTTGAATGAAAAGAGAATAATTAATTGTGCATTGTTTGAATGTCTATTCAAAAAATCAAGCGTTATTTCTTTGTAGAACGAGGATCGATTCGAAAAAGCTATTCATCCAAACAACGATGCTCCATCGGTTATCTGGGAAAACATCAAAGATCACCCGAAAAGTCGAATCAACGGATCCAACAAAGGATTTGCTATCAATAATTGATCATGTTGTTTTTTTTAAATTTAATTTTGAGTCTGGTTTTGATTCCATAATAAATATGTGTTTTTTATCAGTTTTCTCATATTTTGATAGATAAAATTGATTCTGGGGAAATTGTTTTCTGTTTTTATTAAATTTTTTGTTAATAGAGGAGATATTGATTTGAATTTTTGATTCTTGATGGCTGGATTTTATGGAGAAGAACATTATTAAAAATGTAAAAATACTTGATAAAACTGGATGAAAGAAAGCGAATAAATTTCTAAAAAAAATCCGAGTTCAGTAAGTTTCTCATTTTTAACAAGATTTTTATCAAAAAAACCGCATTCTAAATCTATTGTTTCACTTTCTTCAAACATCCAAATTACCTTGAAATACTTGATTTCACTGCAATTTCATAACTGTTCATTTCTTATCTAGTCACCCCATCATCTCACCAAAAAAAACTTTTTTTGCTGAAATTTTTTTCTGCCTATCTATTCCTTCACAAAAAATTAATAAACAACAATTCGGTGCTAGGCAGAGGGCAGCTGACAGCAAAAAAATAGTGGGCGGAGCCAATTTTGCGATAAAGAAAGACAGCAAGTCTCAACAATTCATTCGACGATTCGTTTGGCGACAATGATGAGTCGAACAGTTCTTGCTCTTCTTTTGGTGACTATTTTGTTGGCGGTTGGTGAATCGCGCAAGGTTTGGTCTTCCAGACAAGTTCATCGGCATTTAAAGACGTGGGTTTTTTTATTTTGAGAAAAAATCGGAGCGAGCACATTTTTTTTGTTTTTTTATCTTATCAAAATGACCATAATCTGTCAATAATAAAAGTATAACCAAGTTATTTTTAAGTATTGTAAAACAAAAATTGCCTCAGCGGTTAAAAAGTTTTAAAGCTACAGAGCCTGAATTTACCTTTGAGAAAATTGTTATTTTCTTCAAAACTCTGAATCTCGACGACGAAGGGTTTTTTTGAAAGTTCTAAAATCAATTGACAGATGTCCATTATCAATCATCTTCATTGCTCTGAAATCCGATAGGGTCACTCACATGACAAAATCAACACACAAGAAAAAAAAACACACAGTTGTCCCCCAGCTCTCCAAACAGACACAAAAATGAACAACATATATGAGTTTACAGAATTCCACTCACCAAACAAACCACACTTCGTGCTCAATTATATAGTGCTGGAAACTCTCACACATTTGCCAAACATCGTGATCAATATCACACCAAATTTGCCGATAAATATGACAAATTTTTGGATGAAGAACGACTTAGTCAACCACTTGGTGAGATTGATGAGATTTTGAGAAATTATATGGATGCACAATATTTTGGAACTATTTCAATTGGTACTCCTGGTCAAAATTTTACTGTTATTTTTGATACTGGAAGTTCGAATTTGTGGATTCCATCGAAGAAATGTCCATTCTATGATATTGCTTGCAGTAAGTTATTGAAAGAACCCTTTGAAACCATCTAAATCATTTTTCAGTGCTTCATCATCGTTACGATTCAAAATCATCTTCAACTTACACTGAAGATGGTCGTAAAATGGCAATTCAATATGGAACTGGATCAATGAAAGGTTTCATCTCCAAAGATACAGTCTGTGTTGCTGATATTTGTGCGGAAAAACAACCATTTGCTGAAGCTACTTCTGAACCAGGAATTACATTTGTTGCCGCAAAATTCGATGGAATCCTTGGTATGGCTTATCCGGAAATTGCTGTTCTTGGAGTTACTCCAGTTTTCAATACACTTTTTGAGCAAAAGAAAGTTCCATCAAATGTTTTCTCTTTCTGGTTGAACAGAAATCCGGATTCGGAAGTTGGTGGAGAAATTACTTTTGGAGGAGTTGATAACAGAAGATATGTTGATCCAATTGTTTATACTCCAGTTACTCGCAAAGGATATTGGCAATTCAAAATGGATAAAGTTGTTGGAGCCTCAAATGTTCTTGGATGCACTTCTGGATGTCAAGCTATTGCTGATACTGGTACTTCATTGATCGCTGGACCAAAAGCTCAAATTGAAGCGATTCAAAATTACATTGGAGCTGAACCACTTATCAAGGGAGAATATATGATTAGTTGTGACAAAGTTCCAACTCTTCCAGAAGTTTCATTTGTCATTGCTGGACAAACTTATTCACTTAAAGGAGATGACTATGTTTTGAAGATTGCTCAAGGTGGAAAAACAATCTGCCTTTCTGGTTTCATGGGAATTGATTTGCCAGAAAGAGTTGGAGAACTTTGGATTCTTGGAGATGTTTTCATTGGAAGATATTACACTGTTTTCGATTTCGAACAAAATCGTGTTGGATTTGCGCAAGCCAAGACAGCTGATGGATTCCCTGTTTCACCAGCAGTTAAGCCATTCAATGCTGCTAAATATTTCGAAGAGGATGTTGAATCATCTGAAGAAAATGATGATACTTTCTAAATTTCGCAATATTTTATTGCCTTTTGTGTATTATTGAATAAAGTATTTATTTTGATCAATTCATGAATTTTTTTGAAGTATTTATTGATATGGTTTATGTAAACCTGAAGTAACACGGGCGAGATATATAGAGAAAGAATAAAAAAACAAAGAATGCAATAATTTTCTATATAGATATAAACAATAAACAGTGCAATTAAAAAATTATAAAAAGTTTTAGAACCATGGTTTGTCAGGAATCATTTTGTTTCTGGAAAAAACTATTCATTTTTGAAATAAAGTTGTGAAAACTAACCTTTTCGCCAAATTTTCGGACGATGATGGTTTAAATGAAATTTCTGGCAAAAATTTTCTCGTTTTTCTTGATGATGAACTTGAAAGTCCCATACTTCGATCTAAAAAAAAATTAGAAGTAGAAGTGGAAAATTCCAATGATCAGTTACCAGGATTTTGAATCTTGAGTTGAATTTGGATTTGTGATTGAATAGCCTTAATAATTCTATTGAAGCTCAACCAGATCAAAGTTTCTTTCTGCTTTTCCAAATTCTTCAATTTAATCAAAATCGGTAGAATGTCCATTATACAACTCCATTCGTAACTTTCTTTTATATTGTTCCTTTTTTGATTGGAAACCCGGAGAGCCGGAATAAAAATGTCTTTCGCATACCAGAAATGGATTTCAACAAAGAGAGGGAATAAGAACTTATAATCGATATCAAACTTCTTCTTTTTCTCCATTTCAATTTCATAAATTCTGGGAAATTAAGAATGTTGTTCATTTATATAACATTGAAACTTACCGATGTTGCATTTTGAGACTTCCTGTATGCAGAAAGTTTCCTCCAATAACAATAGAATCAACTGGAGTATAAACAGCATGAATTACTCCAGATGGTAGAAATATAGTCTCCCCTTGTTTGATGACAAGTCGGGAAATCGAATCTGGTAAAGAATCAGGAAGCCATTCATTATCTTCTCCTTCCAATTCCAATTTTCTAAACCATTCCAAATTTTCTTGTGTCGGCAGAGCAAGATAGAAAATCTTTTGTCCGCTCAAAATATGATAGTAAACGCTGCTTCCTCCAAAATCAACGTGAAACGTGGTAAAACTTCCTTCCATACTAATCAATAAAAATTTTTCGAGGTAAGGACGAATTTCTTCTCTCTTTCGGTGAGACCACAGTTTTTCGACCATTGAAATTATTCGAACCATCTCTGGTGGATTGATAGAATTGCATAGTCTAAAGTGAAGTTTATTGATTTCTGGTTTCTTATTTTCATTTTCTTATTTTCAGGAAAATTTTTGAATATTGATTTTGGGCTTGGTTTTCAATGGCCAATTTTTGCATTTGCTGATCTTAAAAAACTATACTTCTTTTTTTATAGACTAGAACTTACTGTGAAATTTGTGAAACCTCAAGAGAAATTATGTTGTATAATTCCTTTCTTGGTTTTTCTTCATAAAACTTTTCAGCAAATGATCCGATAGACATTGTAATAGTCTCTTGCTCAAACACATTAATTGTATCCACCATGTATTCTTTTCCCAAAGTATCCACAATAAAATCAAGGGTAAAATCTTCTTTTGGCGGAACAGTGAGACCAAGGCCATCCAAATCTTTGACCAAAAAGCAACTATTCCATTTGTTGATTCCACCCATTTTTTCAATAAGATTCATCATTTAATATCCATTATCTACTTTCATCACGGTTTTGCCGACAGCATCTGGGAACAAATGCTCGATATGTTCGAACTCCTTAAGCCATTCCTTATTACCCACAGGATGTCTCCTTTGATTGAAATTTTTCTGAAAAAAATTTAATAGAATCTTTCATTTTACTTAAGGTATTGATTTTTAAAATATAATCTTTCAATTTTCGGTAGTTCAAAATATGTATGCTCGTATAGTTTTTTAAGAATCATCGGTATTTTCAAAAATTAAAAAAATATCTTACAAGATGATATGTAAGTTCGTCCTCATTCCAAACTTTTTCTCTCGATGCAAAACCGGAAAATGAACAGGCATCAGTTTGTGGTCTCAAATCTAATCCCGGTTCGTTGGAAACTGCACAATAATTGGTTGTGGCATTGGATTGAACCTTATAGTCTTCACCATTAACATATATTAAAGGCTTATTAGATATTCGTCCATCGATTAACTCCCCAGGTGCAGGGGCAGGTGTGAATTTGTCCATATCGGTATTCTTTGATTTGCAATTTGAGGATAATAATGATCCATCAGTGTGTAAACCATCATGAATTGTTGTAACTTCACCAATAGAATCGGCTTCAATTTTTGTCTTATTTTTTGTTGCTCCAAATAAATCGGTGATGGTTAGTGTTTTTGAAGTATGAACAAAATGATCAAAAAGTGGAAACACGAGAATATGGTTTTTTCCCACTCTCAATCTATAAGTTCCAGTTGATTCAATATTTTGACACGTGCTTTTTGATTGTGTTTCAGAAAAAGTCGAAACAGAATTGTCAACTGATGACGAAGGGTTTGTCGTTGTCCGAATTAATTTATCGATGGAAAAGTTCTCGTTGTTCATATTGTGAAAGGTATAATCACTGTAAATTTTGGTGTTGATTTTTTTCACAAGTTAAAGAAAAAGAAAACAAATTAGATTATTGTTAGAGAAATTGAAAAAAACGAGTCAAAAATGTGTATTTAATAAGTACAAAACTTCCGGTCAATAAAAAAAGTGTAGACAACACAACAAGACAGATTAGCAAAAAAAGAAAAAGTGTATGTATGCATATCAAAAAATAAGTCTGCTCGATGACGCTTTTTATTCCTGCACCTCCTTCTCCATATTAGTTTTTTATATAACGATACTTTCCACCTGTCTCTTTTTTTAAAAGTATTAGAAAACACTTTTAATATTAAAAGTTTGGAAGAGCTTAGCTCTTCAGAATTCATTTTCACTTTCAAATAATAAAACATTTTCTATATCAATACAAGGGTATGCTCAAAAACAATATTTATTAGATAAACTTCAAAATTGAGAATTATAACAAATTTCATGAATGGAACAATAAAAAACAGCATTGGTTGAAACAGATGAAAATGAACTGGAAAATTTGACAGAAATGGTGATGATAAAAAATACTTGGGCAATATTTGAGAAAAATTTATTGTTTGGAAGTTGGAAGTTTTGGTGGAAGATGAAGACATTGGAGATGATGAAATTTAGGAGAATATGAATTATTCGGAGCCATTTCTTTTTCTTCTGAAAAAATAAACAAATGAATCTTTAGCCTTGCTAATTCTAAAGAAACTCACTTTTCTGGAGACTCAACATGAACTTCCGATGCGCTCCTCTTCAGTGGATTAGCGGTAGCATCTGTTGGTTGTGTCATAACAAAACTCGTGCCGAGCAGTTCGGTGAAATTATGATCTTAAAATTATTCTCTTTTTTAGGTATTCAAAAAATGTTTAAAATTCTTACTTTGAATTTTCATTATTTCTCGTTGTGTTCTTATTTGTAACTTCATATCATTTATGATCTCCTCGTTTTTCTTTGATTGACTTCGGTTCCTTTTTGTTGACTTGATCCACGATTCTAGTGATGAAATAATATCGATGCTACTTTTCCACATAATTGTATTTACAATATTTTCTCTGCGATTGTTTGCATCTTTTACAAAAGGGATAAGTATATCTCGACAAACCCAGAAATTTATTTGTATGAAGTTTGGAAATTTAAACTTCTTCAATCTTTCTCTTGATTCAATATCAAAAACTCTAAAAAAAAATCGTTGCTTGATTAAATTTTTCTGTTCATTTCAAATAAAACTGAAACTAACCTGTTTTGCATTTCTATACCACCAATGTGAAGAAAATTTCCTCCAACAACTATTGAATCGTCTGGAGTATAAACAGCATGAATAACTCCGCTAGGGACAAACAAGGTTTGTCCTTCTTCAATTACCAATCGAGTAATAGCATCGGGTATTCGATCCGGCAACCAATCACTCTTTTTTGAACTTTTTTCCATTTTTTCGAACTGTTCGATATTTGTTGGCGTTGGCAATGCCAGATAGAATATCTTTCGTCCTTTGACAATGTGATAATAAACACTACTTCCTCCAAAATCAATGTGAAAGGAAGTAAAACTTCCTTTCATGCTCAATAAAACATATTTTTGAACACATGGACGACTTTCGTCCATTTTTCCACTTGACCACAGTTTTTCAACCAACGACAATTTTCGAACCAACTCTGGTGGCTCGATCAAATTTCCGAGTCTGAAATTGTTTTATTTGTCAGTCATTATAAAATGCTTCAAACTGTTCGACTGTCAAATGAACTTACGATGATAAATTGGAAACTTCCAGAGAGATTATATTGTATAGTTGTTTGCGATGTTCTTGTTTTGTGAAATGTTTGGCAAACGTGCCAATTTTCATACTACTCAACGTCTGTTTATATACATCAATAACGTCAACTTTGTGAAAAGCACCCAATTGGTCTATTATAAATTCCATTGTTAATGTTTGTTTTGTGGGTACAGTAAATCCCAAACCGTCAATATTGTTGACCAAGAAACATTCATTCCACTGTTCAATTCCCCCATTTTCTTCAATCATCTTCATCATCATATGACCGTTTGCGACTTTTGTTACTACATTTCCAACTGCATCAGGAAATTTATTTTCAATTTTCACAAAATCTAACATCCATGCTTCGCTACCAACATTCTTTTGCTTTTTGTTGCGAGAATTCTGAAAAATATTGATATTTTTTAAACTTCACAGATGATTTTTCTAAAGTTATGAAGCTCTAATATAATAATTAATAACTCATTTTGGATTCAGAAAATTACGTTGTTCGTTTAAACACTTTTGCAAATTTTACTTCCATGAATAATTTTTATGAATGATTCCCTTTTAAACGTTTCTTAAAATCAAAACTGCTTCTGAATTTCCTAACTTCAACCCATAAATTGTTTACCTTTTTTGGAATGTTGCTGGCTCCAGCTAAATCAAATGAAATTTCATTGTTTGCCAATTCTATTGCTGGAGCAATTGGGTTAAGTTGTTGAGCAAAATCACCATTCGAAGAACTTCCTCGCATTTTGCCAGGCTCAGAAAAATCAGCTGAAGTAGAATCATTGTCCAATCCTTCGATAACATTTGAAGAAGATCCTTGTGGCTGAAAAATATTTGAGTATCTGGTTGCTAAACAGATGTTGATATTTTTTTTTGAAAAAGGTCGAAGTAAGCTGAAGAAAAAAGCTCAAGAAACGCATTAAAACACATTTTGGAAAGAAAATCTTTTGTATGCTATTCCAAATATTTGATAAAAACTTGATTTTTCTTCCTAACAATTCGAGCCAATCTCCAAAAAAACTCACACTGTTCGAAATTCCCAAAAAAATCGCTAAATTTTTCCAACTTTGAATCATATTAGTTGGAATCTTGACGGTTGTGAATTCATTTGAAGAAGTAGATGATGCAGATGCCGGAATATCGGAAGTAGATTTGAAATGATTTCCAAAACTATTGTAGTTTTTCGTCGTGGTGCCCTTTAAAAAAACATTTTTTTCATTACTGGCTCAAAAAAACTTACATCATTGAAAACATTATTTATTGGAACATTTGAATTACGAGTTTCACTATCTTCCTCAAAAAACCTTATTGGCGAAGTACTCGCATCGCGGGTGGAAGGTTGTTCTGATTGATCTTCAACTGCTGATGAACTACTCTCATCCGAGCCTGAAGATCTTGATCCATTGGAAGCTCCTGAAGTAGTATTTTGTCCAATTTCCTGAAAGAAGAAGAATTTCATTGAGATCAATATTGAATATCAGAAAACTGTAAAAAGTAAAAAAAAAACTCACATCACTCCTATTCGATTGATTTTCTCGAACATTGTCGTCATCAATTCGATTTGTTGGAGAAATTTTATGATCCGATGAAGTGGGTGTAGAAGTTGCAGCAGGTGTTCCAAGAGTGGAGTTTGATCCCAAAGATTGATCTGAGATTTCAATTTCTGTCACATCATTTTGTGTCAAATTCATGAGCATGTTTTGTGATGAATTCCCAATATCCTGAAAAAAGATATATTCTAGTGTCTTCGAGTACAGATAGAAAAATTCATTAAAATGATGAAAACTCACATTTTCAATTATATCAATTGGTACATTCCTGCTAGATGAAGCTGAAGTTGCATCATCATCTACTCTAGAAGTATAACCTTGCTCTGATTGTTCATCACTTGGCAAAGAATCTGTAGAGACTGATCCAACATTCTTTGTGGAATTTATCGATGAGTTAGGTGAATCGGTTGGAACCTCCTCCTGTTCAGCTAAAAGTCTTTCTGGAGTTTTATTTGCACTTGCAAGTGGAATTGAAACTGGAGCATAATCTTGAGTCAGCGAAATTGTAGATGTAGATTCCAAATATTCATTTAATGTTGGACTTCCAGCCACTGGTGGAGTCTGTTGAGTAACCTGTGTAAAAATGAAGGTTGAGGAGTTTTTTTTTCTGATAAGAAAATTATAATTTCGCTAAAAAAAACTGTTCCACTTGAAAAAACTCACATCATTGATCGGCACAACTGGTGTATTTGAAGTATTTTCACTACTTTGAGCAACTTCCAAATAATTAGAACCATTTTCAGTCAATTTTGAATTGGAAGAAGTCACGTGATTTGCTGAATGTTCTTGTGAAATTCCAGTAGCATTTGTGATCGGTTCTGGTGGAACTTCTAGTTGATCAGTAAAAATTTCAGATGAGGAAATTGATTGCGTTTCATTTGTGATTGAAACTGATTCCTTATCTGGTTGGGCATTCCTAGTTTCAGATTTTGAATCTGATTTCAAGATTTCATCACATTTTCGATTTCCAGCAACTGGCGCAACATTATTTCGGATTTCTTGGGAAGAATTTTCAGTCACCTGTGTAAAATTATTTGTTTTTTTTTAATAAAAACAAACTCACATTGGTAGTCACAACTGGTGAATCCGAAATGTTTATGATATTTTGAACAGCTTCAGAACCATTGGAATTATTTTCAAGTGATGTTGAATCCAAAGATCCTACTAGATTTCCAGTTGCATTTATGGTTGGAACTGAAGAATCTTCTGGTTGTCCATATGAAGCTTCATTTGTGGAAGTAAATTCCAAGTTGTCTTTTGATGTTGAATATTCAGTCACTGGCGCAACAGTAAGATTTCTCTGATCAGATAAATTAATTTCTTGAGATTCATTTGCACCTGAATGTGGAACTGTTGTTTCCGGCTCAATTGGAGTAGGATCTGTAGATGTTGCTGCATGATGTTGAATTTGTTGTGGATTTTGATGAGTTTCCTGTATGAAAAAAGTATTATGGAAAGTGTCTTTGTAATAAAGTTGGTGAAAATTTCGTCAATTTCAAAAAAAAAAACTAACATCATCATCGATAATTATAATTTCATCAGAATGGTTCCCGATGTTTTGCACATTTCCACTGTTCGAAACATTTCCAAATGTTACTGGTCGATTATTTTGATAGTTTATGATTTGAACGTCATCATATTCTGTTGGAGAATATGTTTCAATTGCATTTGAAACGTCAACTCGTCGATTATTTCGAGAATGTCTTCTTCGAAAGTTGCCAGTTACCTGAAGAAATAAAATTATTATGTGTTGTCTACAGGAAATATGACGAAAAAAAAATTATTTAAAAAAAAGAATTCCGAGAGAAGAACACAAAAATCGTGTGCGACAGAGCAAACTTTCTTCTTTATACTTTCTGTTTCAAGGATTTCCTTTTTTGTAAGAAATGTGATGAATTTAATCCAAAGCAGAAAAAAAGCGAAAAAAAGGCGAAAAAAAACGTGCAAAGTCGAACTGTCTGTTTCTCTCGTCTCTTTTCGTTGCGAGACCCGTTTGCATCGCGTTTAGAAAAATGAAGAGGAAAACGCGAGCTTTGGACGTTTTTTTTTCTGTTTTTTTCACTTTTTTTCTGCTTTGGACACCGCATAATGAATACTGTATTTTTAGTTTAAAAAAATTCTAGCTTCTTTTGAAAATCATGAAAAACTCACATTGGTATTCGCCACATTTTGTGGAAGCAGTTGATACGGAAAACTTGTTGCTGACGGAAGATTTTGCAAAGGTAATTGCTGATTTTGTGGATTAGGGATATTACCAAAATGTGAATTTCCAGAAGCGAACAATTGACGAGAGTTGTGAAATTGGATAAGCCAACTCAATGGAACCGACACATTTATATCAGCAACATTTTGATTCATCTGTATTGGATTGATCAATGTTGGAACAAAATATGCTGGGTTATTTGAGATGAATCCCGGCGGATTTTCTTGGTTTGACATTTGGCTGAAAGAAAAATATGATTCAGGCTAACTTCACTGCTACAAGGTGAGAGAATTAACCTTTTAGAAAAAAATGAGAGGGGGGCAGAAGTTGACATTTTCTAGAGGGGGGTGAATCTGTGAACCTAAACATAGAGAAGAAACAAGAAAAAATTATAAAATTGGTTCCTGGAAGTGCTCGGGAAAAAACTATTCAGCACTGCGGTAAAAATAATTGAAACACTGAAGAAGAGGGGAAAAATAAAAGGAGACGGGAAAAAAGAAGTCAGACGAGACTTTCGGGACACCAAAATACGTCGGTGTTTTTAGCGACAGTGCTTTGGGGCTTTTTGTGTGACCTTGGCGCCGTTTTGTTCCCGAGCGCTTACCTAAAAATTCCTTTCAAAAAAAAACAGACAAAAACAAAAGAGATATACCAGAAATACAGCAATTTATCAGACCTACACTATATTTTTAAAACTTTCGGAATATATGATTTTTGAGGATACTGTATCCGAAACTAATTTTCCCAAAATGTAGATATCATGATGAAAATGCAGGGATTACCGTAAATATGATAATATTTCAAAACCTAAACAGAAAGCGTTGTTGAATTTCAAATCCCTTCCAGGTTTCTTCAGGGTTTGTATTTTTATAGAAGAAATTTGAAAATTTTAGGAACAAAAAAAAAGAAGAAAAAAAAAGAAAAGACTTTCCCAAAAGCTACGGAATAAAACCATGAACCAAAAAAAAGACTTGGCGAGGCGACAGAAATAATGAATAGTCAAAAATGACAATGTGTGAGATGGTGTTTTTTCCCGCACTATCTCTCCGCCCTTTAGCTCGAAAAAAAGAAGAAGAAGAAGAAAAGCCACATGTTACTTACTTTACTTTTCTTTGTTCCTCCGTAAACAATACAAATGTTTTTGAATATACCGAAATACATCTTATGAGTGAGAATGTTTATATTTTCTGATTGAAAAATCAGAAGCCATATGATTTTGCCGCCTTTTGATATGATAACTCACATATGTGGATTGGTCATTATTTATTAAAAGTCAAAGAATTATATGGCTTATGAGGTCAACTTTTATTGTAAAAAGAATACCGGAAGCTATTGTAAAAGCTAAGCTATTCATTGAAATTTGATTAATATTTTTTCGTTTTTAAGGTGAAAATTGGGATTTGCATATAACAGACCAAAAAGCTCAAAGATTTCCCAAGAAAAATATAACACACTACTTGTGGTAACAGTGAATTTTTTTTATATCATAGTTCTGCACTGTTCTTCTCTTTGATTATTTTCATAGGGAAGCGTATAATTGTTTCCATAATTTGAATTGTAACCACATTATTTGACAGTTTTTCTTCCCAAACCAAAAAATTATTCATTTTTCAAGAATTTAAATTTTGAAGCAATTCAGTTTAATTGAAACAATTGCGTGGTTTTTTCAAATGTATGATGTCACAAGACTTTTGTTCAAAAAATGAACATTCTCAAAACAATGAGAAGTGTGAATAAATGTTCCTGTTTATAACCCAAATTTCCTACCATATTTCTCAACAATTGATAATATGTTGATATTTTTTCTGATACCAATTTCAATAATCACTGCCAACTCTTATTCAATAGAAGATCATGTTCTGACAAAGTGATTTTTCAAATGTATTTGAACTTTGATACAGAATTTTGTTTACAGAGTGGTAAATAATTCGATCAAATCTTGTGATGATTTCTTCCGACATGTTTGTGGGATCGATTCTGCTGATGATATTCGAACATTTGTTGAACCCATTTTGAAAGAGGAGCTAGAAAATATCACCGTATTTGATGATGTTTCACAGTATCTGGTAATTTTTTATTCTTAAAATTTTTTTTTAGTAATTTTTCAGTTTTTTTTAGGTTGAACTTATTAAATGTTCAAGTGCAAGTGTTGAGCCAACATTCTTCTTTGATGAAATGAAACTGGAATTTGATCAATCGTATGTGATCTTAAGAAAAAATATTTCAAAATTATAACTTTTCAGTTGTAAAAATGGAACGGAGCAACAATATTTGACAGGCTTGAAAAAATTTCTTCCCGGTGGAATACATACTGAAATTATGGCTGACTGTGAAAAGCGGAATGAACTGGATTTTGTTCTACAAGAAATTCAAAATAAATTGGTACGCTTTATTTGTTTCGAATTTATCCAGCAATTTTTTTTTCAGTATCAAAATCAGCAGACTGAATGCACCCAAAAATCAATGAATCAAACTGCTTGGCTTTGGATGTATAGAAATTTTGATAGTATCAAAAAATTGAATAATCTTGTGACAGATATCAAAAAAATGTACATTTCCTGGATTGCGAAGACTCCATGGATCAAAAAACATAATCTTGTTGAATCATATCAGAAACTTGTGAACACAACAGCTCTGGTAGATATTGATCCGCTTTATCAAATTATTGCGATTGGTGGAGAGTACAAAAAATGTCTAGAGAATACAACGACTTGGCTATCAAATCCACAATTGAGAAATATTATATGTCTTCAGCTTACAAATAAAGGAAGTCGTGTGGGTAAATTGCTTGGAGGGATCAGTGCAAAAATTTCAAGGTATCAATTTATTTCTTTATCAATCGCCTTTTATGTGATAGTTTCAAGAACCAATTCGGATTCATTCTTGGTGATTTTACATACATATTATTTTCTTATCCTATTTTATTTATTTTTTCTACAGATTGGCCAAATGGGAACTATTCTTGCTCATGAAATAGCACATGTTATTATTCAAAGTGATGTTGATGAAACATTGTTTTTCTCTGATTCGGTGCAACAATGTATTCAACAACAATACAACAAATCGTGTTCTTATTTTCCAGAGGTAAATGAAACATTTAATTTAGCAAATCATTCAATTTTCTGAATAGGGATATTGTGTGCCAAATTATGATCGGTTAGATGAAAATGGTTCTGATCTTCTTGCTGGTCACGCGGTTGCACATTATATTGAAGAAAGAATTAGTTCTGAATTCCTGAAATCAATTAACAAATTTTCCGGAAAGTTGAGAAATGATCAATTGTTTTTCTATGGACAAGCATCAGGTATATGCATTGTGAGTTTTAACTTGTTAAAAACCTTGGTTTCACAAAAATGAAATCATTTTTCAGAAATCATTCAAAGATGGTGGGGATACTCGGCATACACCATCTCGTGCTCGATTCAACGCCATTGCTATTCAAAATCCAGGATTTCAAAAGGCATTTGATTGCAGTGCAGAATCAGCCATGATAAAATCGTTCAACGTGAGTTGATGGATTTGACATACCAGTCTTGTTTTTCTTTCAGGAAAAATGTTATGTCCTTGGAGAACAAGCGCCATTACAGAAAAAATGATTCTTAACTGTGAATGACAGATTAATAAAGTTTTTCATATTTCCAAATGTTTGGCTTGATCTAAATTATTTGTTGTTTCATCTACAAACGCAAGAAAAAACTCTCATTAAAAAATAAAATTTTAATTCAATAAAGTGCATGTCTGGGGTCTTTTGTTATATTTTGAATAGCGAAAAAATCTTTGGTTCATTGTTGCTGAACTTTTTCCTCCCGTCGTTTTGTGGAAAGGTCACTTTGCCATGTCCCTGAAAAAAACTACTGGTTCCATACGAATATATTATTTAGTTAGTGCAACTTGATATCTACCACCCCAAAAAACTACCACTATACAAATATCCAATTATGAATATTATTATTATTATTATTTTTCGAAAAATGATGAAAAATACTTTTTATTATTAAAAGAGATCAAAACATATAAGCGGGGGTAATTAATTAATCAATCAATTTAATTAATAAGTCATTTGGCAAGAAATTGGGGAGAGATAACATTGGACTCGCAGAGTTACAAATTTTCAACTTGACCAACCAGTATTTAGGTTACAAAATTTTTCACATCCGGAAAAATGGGAGAAATAGAGATATGGTAATTTTGATTTTCTTGTTTTAAGAAAAAAAGGGAATGCTAAAAATGAACAGATATGACAGGATTTGGACTAGTAAATATGAAAAAATAACCGGTTTGCAAAAAAAAATAAAGATGAAAAAAATGTGTATGAAAGTTGTCAGAGCCATTCAACAGAACTTGATTCAGAAACCATTCCATGAGAAGACTCTTCTTTTTGATCGATAAGTTGATATGAAGGTTGTGGAAGATTTGTATATGAAAGAGCTTTTCCAACCAATGATGGTTCTTGTCGTGGGATTAATGAAGGTCTTCTTGGGATATCAAGAAGTGAAGAGCTAAGATTTAATTGGGATGATGCTCGAAGTTGATGTTGAGAACAATCGAGATATGCCGCGCTTCTGAAAAATTATGTAGTTGATATTTTGATTCATAGCAAAGTGTGAAATTCGCGGCTTTGGGAAAAACAATTCTATTTTTAAAATTTGCACTTTCAATTTGATATCATCAAAATATCACTGAAAAGTTGGTGATGAGCTTCGAATAATTTTTGGTAATGCTTATGAAAATCTAAAACCGTTTCTACAAATATATGAATGAGTCAGAAATCCACAAATTTTCTAGGTCTAAAAAAAAACAAATACTCCTCATTCATCCTAAATCCAATTTTAAATTTTTGTTGTGATTTATGTGACGTGTTCTAGCGAATCTCCTTTTCCCTTTCTCTCTCTAAAACCCTTGGCTTACCTCGATTGTATCCTTGATCTACCACGGAACGGTGATTTTTTCAATAAAGCATTTCCAGTGTCAATTCCAGCTGATTTGATTTGTGTGCCCATTTGTTGAATATTTTTCCAGATTGGTGTCAAACTAGTGTTCATTGTACTTGTGACTCCAGCATTATCAACAGCTGAAGTTGTTGCAGCAGATCTTGTTCCATTCAAACATCTTGATGTTGAATTTCTCAAGTTGCGATTCAAGAATGCGTAGAACAACCAATTAAACGCGCTTTGTGCATATGGTAAAGCGTGGAGCATATACATCAACACAATTTCGAAATCAATTGATTTTTTTGTAGCCACAGTTGTCACTGTAGTTTCTTCTACTGCGAAATGATATGAAACTGTTGTTGCATTCAAGTTTGGTGCAGCTGTTGTGAAATTGGTGTTTTCTGGGTCTGAAAAGAATGTTTTTGCAAGCCCTTGTCGCAGAAAAAAGGTGTCAGCAATTCTCAAGTGTTGGATTAGTTAACTACACACTTGAAAATGCCACACCGATGAGAGAGACCAAAAAATTCTTTTGGTTTTTAACTAGAGAAAGCAAACTCACTTGGTGAAATTTTGGTAATCATTGTGATAACCATCAGATGAATTCTCATTATCCAATAAGGTGTCCAGCAGATGAAATAGAACGCAACAACCATCACTGAACATTTGACAACTCGAGACAATGAGATACTGGTTTTTTGACCAACTGCAGAAAATCTGGTGTGTTTATAAAGTTTGAGTAGAATCGCCAAATATACTGCGCAGATAACTGTTAAGGGGATGAGATAGCAGACAACGGTGTGCATCAAATCAAAGAAGAAAAAGAATTCCGCTTCAAATGCACATTTCATAACTTCCTTATTGTTGTTATCTATCATATATTGGGTCACAGCATTTCTGGTGATTGGAACTAGGAAAAGCATTGATAGGGAGGAACTGACTAAAACCACACAAAGGGCAAATCTTGTTTCACGCATCCAGTATAATGTTGGATGACAAACTGCGATATATCGATCAATAGATAGAGCCATCAAAACCATTGGACTTAAGGTTTTGTTCATTCCCTCACAAATATATAAAACTTTGCACCAGAAATCACCAAATTCAAATTTGTTTTTATAAATATCCGCAACCAACATTGGAACAGGTATCAATGAAAGCAAATCAACAATTGATAATAGAAGCAAATAAATATATGCAGATGATTGAACAACAGATTTATATGTTCTTGCACGATTTGAAGAACATCCAATAAGCTGCATTGAAACAGTCATTAGAACCCACATGTTGCCAAGGAATCCAGTAATTGCCAATGCAGAATAAACAACAATAACAAGAACACTCTCCGGTTCAATTGTCGTCATTTTTGGGCTGCTTCTTCTTTTGGGACCAGTTGAAAAAGGTGTGAAGAAAATAAGCAAAGAAGAAGATGAGGAAGAAGGGGAAAAAGGAGGCGGGTTGGTTGCTCGGTTTCTTTCGTATTCTTATTCTTTGTTTGACACGACGCCGCCCCTGAAAAAAAATGGCACATTGTTTGTGTTTCAGAAGGCAAAATAACGAAAAAGAGCAGGAAACCAAGAGGAATTGAAAATGAGCAATCATTATGAGAGGATGAGTACGATATAGTCCATTTACTTGATTAGATAGCTCACTACGTGGAATATTGAAAAGGATGTGTAAAAAACTGGGAACTTTTGAGTCAACTTTATGAAATATGGATGAGTTTTCAGAATTGAATCCAAAGGTTATATCACATTTTTTCTAGATTAGATGAGAAAATAAACAAATGAGACTAGACAGATCATTGAAATTTGGTTGAAGAAATAAAAAAAACAAGAAAACAACTCGAAAGTAAACGAAAATGTGACAAGTCATTGCAATTAGGAATTTGGATATCTTTGAACTTTTTTGGAAAATAATCTAGGTGGTTTTCAAGAAATTAATGGGTCTGAAACAACTTCCGGAGTGCGAAATTTTAGATTTCCGATTTTCTCAAAATAGCTGACATAAAATATGAATTTCGATTTGAAAAATTAGGTTTGAAGATTAGTGAAGTGAATAGATTTGAACGCTTGAATGGTAATTCATCAAACTTTGAAATTTAGAAAAAATAGTAGACTTTAAAATTAAAACATAATTAGGTCTTGAATGAATCCACACAAGACAACTTTGAATCCACCACATAGAAAAATATAATTTAAAGAAGTTCAAATATTTTCAGAATAACATTATATGGTCATAAAACATATGTCTCTTGAGATTGTTGACTGAAAATACATACGCCCACCGCAAATACGGTGTCGTTTTTCAAATGACCGACAAGGCTCGGATTTTTTATATAGAACTTTTTCACATGGAATGTGGGAGGTGTGAAACTTAAATCAGAAGTAGATTTATTTATGTATCAAAAAACAAAAAATAGAAAAAGTTGGGTGATTTCATTCAGAATGATTTTGTAAGAAATATTAGGACCTGGATTTCGAAATACCAAAATTAATCAGACTCGATTTTGCAAAATTCTGAATTTGGTCAGGAATCTTTAACCCGAAAATAATTTGTTTTTCTATCTCTGTCTGGCAGCCAAAATCTTGTGGAAATTAACATTCCAAAACTTATTTTCATAAAAACATCACCGAGATTTTTCTAAATGGAAAATCTGACCAACCCTTTTTTGAATCTCGAACTTCCGTTTTCAAAATCAAATAAACTATATTGTTGTACATAGAGTACATTTAAATTGGTATAATTTAATTTACTCATCAAGGTTTCCCAGAAAAATAAACAAGTTCTCTTATAAAATCCCCCTTAAATTTGATAGTACAAAAATGCAACATTTGAAAAAAAGCTGGATTTTCCGAGGTGCGAAGAAAAATGCGTAATTCGATATGAAGACAGCAGGAGAAGAAACGATGATGATGGCCATCTTTTTTCCCTTTGCTCTTTGCAGTTTTGAACTTCTATTTCAGTTTCAATTTTCATATTAAAATCAACAATGAAAGAGTTCAGAAATTCAGTTTTTACCAGAACCCCACGCGATTACGTAATAGGTCAATTGACAAATCAAATTTGTGTTTTTTTTTTGGAAATGGTTTCGGAAATAAAATTCAAAAAACCAACAAAAAACAACAAGCACGAGTCGATGAATCATAATGTCGTGACAATTTTAGACAAATTAAATTATATGTTTCATGACAGTTGTGAAAATTTCATCAATTTTTCAAAGAGCGTTCACAAACAACAACACAAAAAATACAACAAGATGAGCAAGCAAGAAGAACAAAAAATGAAAAAAAAACATTGACGAAATAGTTGATTAAAGGCAGGGTCATCGGATTTCTTTCCGGTCAGCCAAATCTGTGTGCAAATTTCTCAGGTTACACCACTCGGCGGAGCGCGGTTTTTTTTACGATTGCTGACTGACTGATCAAATGGCTAGTTAACCATGAAAATGAGCAAATAGAAACGAAATGAAATGAGAATTAGTGTTTTTTGCCTTTTTCCGAGAAAAATGATGTTCAATATCATGAAATTGGAAAAATTGAAATGTCAGATTTGAAACTGAAAAATTAAGATCTGGAGGTGGGCTTGATTTTTAAAAGGGTGATTTTTATGATCTTCAAGTGAACTAGTTAACGTGAATTTTCTAGAACGAAGAATCATCTAAAAATATCCAGTTAGCCAATAGAATCTTTCCAAAATTCTAAAAATTGTTCTGGCTATCGTGAGAACATGGAAATGTTTTCAACTTTCCTGGCTGGCACTGATTTTTATATTTGTAGCAAGAAATTCAATTACGGTAATTCTTGGGAAAATCTGAAATCTAAATAAACACACTTCTAATCCAATAGAGATCACAAATTGAAATATTCTACTATTTCAACAAGGATGTAAAATAGTGTTGCTTTAAAGTACAGTCATTTCACATCCTCCTAATTTATGAATAAAAAATTGGGAAAGTGCAAAACAGGGATCATTAGATTCGTTGTCTTCTTTTTTCTGGATTACGGTAGGTAGCTTTTTATTTTCCATGTGATCTATTCTGGAATAAATAAAATGTTCAAAGACCAAATCAACACCGTATTCTTCTCATCATGATTCGTCATTTTTTAATCAAGTTGAGGAATCTCATCAATTCATCAAGGATTACGGTAGAGTTGCAGCAGCCTCCGCCCACAAAAAGTTTCATCAACCTAAAGAGGTCACGAATAATGAGAAAATTGCGGCGACAATGCAAATAATCACGTAGATGCAAAAGTCGAAAAAAATAATGAAAAATCTTGGGATTGTGAACAAAATGAGGAAAAGAAAAGATTTAATTAGAAAAATGTGAAAAATGATGATTCAGATGTTTCTTTCTCTTATTGGATATCAAAAATAAGATGAGATGAGATGAGGGATCTTCTGATTTTTGGGCGACAAAAAAAAAAAGCATAAACAAAAATGAGGGTTCCCAAAAAATATTATTTGTTGTGGGATGAAGATTTCCTATTTTTTGTTAGCAGACAAAGGATTGTCTTGTGGTTTCTATTTTTTTCTCGAGAAATCAGCTAACCGGAAACAAAAAAAAATGAAAAATAAGAGTAAGAGTAAGCAATGGTTCTCACGAGTACAAAATATGCGTGGGTATTCACTACACCAAAAAACACTTATTTTTGGTATCAGTGAATTTGAGTTTGAGAAAATGGAAGAAGAAAAGAACGTGGGTGTTTGAATAAGTTAGTTTGTCATATTGATATTTGAATTCAACTTTTGCTAGAATTTCAGAACACTGATTTTGAGAATGGTTGTAAGATGTTTCTGAATGGTTTTTGAAAACGTCCTTTTCTGATGTGAGCTCTAAAATTCGAAGCTTAACAAACTTATGTTAATTCCGCTAGAAAAAAAATAATTATTGAGACATCAATTTATAATTCTTCTAGAAAACAATGAAACCATCACTATAAAAATATGCCCTTTGGTAATCTCAAAGGAAAACATTGAACTAATATCATGTGAGCAAACTGTTGGCTCATTTTCAAAACATACTGGAGAAAAAATTAGAAAAACTGTTTTAATATAAATCTTATCAAAAAAGTATAATAAAATATTTACTTAATTCTTATCATAAGTTCCTTTGTGAAAATTTGAAAAATGGTGGAAGTGGGTAAGGGGAATTAAAGTTGGAAGATGTTCAAAAGTAAAACTATTAAGTTTTAGGACTTTCAAGCATGTCGATGAAGTTCAGAAGTTAAAATGTCAATTTTTTCGAAGCTTAAAAGTTTGTTGAACATTCCAGATAAAAATTCTAATCCTATATTTTATATTTTTTAAAACTCAACTCACATCAATAAAACTAGAAAAGTTTGTGAAACTAGAATCTTTATGAGGGCGAAAAGCTGGTGATACCAGAATAAATAAAAATTTTACGGCGTAGTTCATTTCTTATGTGCTTGGTGTGTGTGTGTATTTTTCATATTATAATGAATGAAATTTTCCGGCTTCTCCTTCTATTTTCCGGAAAACTAAAAACTTTTCAAAAATCACAAACCAAAGTTGAATAATTCTCTGAATCAAAAATTTGAATTTGAATTCCAAATTCCGAATTCAAATTTGCGAAAACAAAACACAACACAACACAAAAACAAAATTAAATTATGATGAAAAAAACCAGACAGAAATATTTCAAAACGAGAAAAAAGGTAATAGAGAATAGAGGGAAGTATATTTCAAAAACAACAACGAAAAAATAATCAACTTGAAAGAATGGACTCTCATTTCAATTGAAATCCGACGCCATTGCACATAATTCAATTTTTGTGTGGTTCTCAAAAAAATGCTTGGCTCGTTTTTTTATTCCGGATGACCACTGCACTTTTTTCGCATAAATAAGAAGAATAGACAAAAAAGGATATTGATGTTCAAAAAAAATTTTGAGCGTTTTTTTTTTTGAAAAGTGACAAGAAGATTCGCTCAGGTAGTAAATTTGCGCGGGAAAAAATTTTGCAAAAAATGTCTGGCGAGAAAAAAAAATCAAAGGTTCCGTATTTTATTGACTTGGTGAATTCAAGAGGTAGTGAGCACCGGGAATTGAACTTTTTAACCCGAAATCGATAGCAGATAACACTGCTAATGATCCGAATGATCAGAACGGAAAGAATTCAAAAAATTCCTACGAGAAAAAATATGAAAAAAAAGATCAAAAGAAAGGTTTCGTATATTTTCGACAAAGAAAAAACATTCCAACACAAAAAAAAATACTAAAAAAAAACTATAGTCTATTCTGAAATTCCAACAAAAACATACGATTAAAAAATATGAAATGTTTTTCAGGCCAACAACAAATATACATACATGATTTTATGATTTCCGAAAGCTGTTCTGTTTC